TCGTCTTCGAGGGCAGATTGATTCGAGTGACTTGGCAGTAAGCACGGTCGACAATGGCCAGAGATTCGCCTCGAGTCCTGCACGCATCGCGAGGATAAGTGGTTTGCCGAGTGTCGAGTGCAACGCGTGAGACTCGTCGCGCGTATGGCAACGAGATCGCGTTGATTACGGCGAGATAGGACACACGGTGGTAGATGAAACCGCGAGTACAGGACTGGACGAGTTCAACTGGCAATTAGACCGGACAATAACCTTCCATCAACGATGCTGAGGGGTTTCAGCTAAATTGCGACGCGTATTCTTCACGAAAGACGTATGAAATAATACAAGTCTAACGAGAGGCAAAACGTGATCGATATACATAAAAGATTTTTTAAGATTACGCAGCTATTAGCGAACCAGTGAGACAAATTGAAATATCGTTGACAGAGAGAGAGAGAGAGAGAAAGGGAGAACGTTTCGCGTTTAACGCGTGTTCACCGGTTAATTACGCGAAGAAATAATTAAGTTACTTTCCGCGTGCAATCAGGCGAGCCACTAATTAGGCATAACAGCACGCAATGCAAACACAAGTGCTACGTGTATGTGTGTATGCACACCGTCGACACACTTCTTCTTTTTCCTCGTGGCTTAACGGGCAAAGGGTTAAGGCTATTCATAAGCCTAACAGAATTGTAGACAGATTTCACCTTTAGATTTGCTACCTTGTACTCGAATGAAAGCATGGTATGCACCTCGTGCATATTGTACACAGCTGATACGAGGTATATCGATTCAATAGGATGCTTAACCCTTCTACCTTCTAACATAACATAAAAGCAATGTAAATTATAATCGGAATATAACAAAAAAGGATATATATTTAAAAATGCAACCAGCGTTTCAACATCGTTTGCTTAACAAACCAATCGTATAAATTGAATGCACAATCAATAGGGCCATGCAATAATGCCTACATAGTAACGAGTCGCTCAAGACCGCAGCAGTGTAGCCCCAAGGAACACATCTAAGGTTACAAAGTAGCATAGAAGAGTCGAGTCCCAGACTCACCGCATTGCTCCTCTCCAACGAGGAACGAGCGCTCCGCCTGTAATTAAAAAAGAAATGGAATCTTGTTAAAATTGCTCGTGTTTTTTTTTTTTTGATTCGTGAAATATTGGGGCGATAATTTCGATAAAATTCGTTAGAACGAGTATCACTTTACTGTGAAATATATCGTGTTGAAAAGGAAGCAAGTTCAAACGTTAATTGGATCGAAAAGAGTTAAACTTTATTCAGGAGACAGACAATTCGCGAAAGAAAAAGCAGCAGGCGTGACAAAGTCTAGTGTCTGTTTTCACGCCACGCTCGAGCGTGCAAAGGGCTCGCCTGACACGTGTGAAAAAGGCGTTTAACTGGTACAGCCCTTTTGTCTACGAATCATTGTCGCTAACGCCTGGTTTGCACGACGAAAGGAGCTCTGATTCGTATTACATAATATCCTCTGATCCATAGCTCTGATCCATAATATCGGATAATTTAATCTTACAATCGAAGATTCTTCTTGATACTAACGCGTATTGGTAATGCATTTTAAATTCATGTTAAATTTTAATTTACCTATTGATGTGTCACCGTAGAAAAAGGCGGTAAAGATGGCGAAGTTCCTGAAATCCATGTTACTTAAATATATTACGATTCTTAGGCATCGACAAATTATATTCCCAAGTAAAATCGAATAATAAATCAAACTGTCGTTTGTTTTATGAAAAAAAAATGGCTCAGATGCGATAAAATAAGTCATAAAGATGTTATATATTTAAACCGTAGTTTGTTACTTGAGAATCTCTCGAACGTTACGCTTAAAAATTTTCATTTACGAAATATTATCGTTAAAGATTCGATCACAATTTAAGAATTAAATATTATTCAAAACTTATACGTTATATGTTATCGTCAGCTCTATGAGAAAATTGATGCATGTATAATTAAAGAATGTTTCCCGTAACTTTTCCTTGCGCTACTGTGCAAATCACACGTTATACGATGAAATATCGTTTTGTACGTACCCCGAAACATGTAACAAAGCGTATTGTCACAAGTTACATGATACACTTCGATAAGTATGCACGGTAATTTATAAAAAAGACTATAATTTCGTCCAGCACTTTTTAAATTTAACAGAGAGCTCTCTTCGACCACTGAAAACTCTGACGTCTAGTTCGGATTGTGTAACCCGTGTTTAGGACCTACGCAACATGCGACATCTATGATCTATGAGAACGCGTACAAAGCTTAAGTTCCTTGAAGGCACGCATTTTTTGACTACCTCACTTTATCAGTTCCATGCTCGAAGGTTTTGAATGTTTTGACGACCACCAAAACGCGGTTTCAACAAAAAATGGAATTCCGAATAAACAATTGAGATTTTATTGGATGTCGTACAATTTTTATCAACGCAAATCGTAAAGTAGCCACAAGATTCGTGTTTCAATAGAGCACACATACATTCACAGAGGACCTGTTTACTTGTGTGGTCCTCGAATCGCGCGTCTAAAAACCAGTGCATAAAAGCGACTTTAAGCTCTGCCCCATTGCTTCGAGAACAAAGTTCCCCGGCATTAACGTAAAGAGGAGCAACTCAAAAGCCGGTAACGTGACGACGTATTTATCCAGACAGCAGACAAACATACTCGCTTGAGTACCTGGCACCTGCTCACTTTCCTATACTTCTAAAGGACTACAGGGGGATCTACATCGAGTGAAACTGCGTATAAAGCCAGACTAGTGGTAAGTTTTTAATGTGATTGTAATCTCTCTCTTTTTATATGTACTTTTCTTTCGTGAACGATGTATTTTAAAATATTAATAAATATGGACATAAAAATCGAAGTAGGCATATTTTATTGAGATCAATAATACAGAATGCAACTGCTCAGCTCTGAATTAATAGTTGTAGTGTAACGATAAATGGAGTTGCAAATGATGTTCCATCCGAGACAGTATCAAACGATGGTCTAACCTCGAAACAACAATCGATTCGATAATCGGAATTCCATCGTCGTAATGATGGATTATGATTATATTCGAGGACAAGTTAATATCGTCTCACGTGAGTAAAATGAATTACGTTCGTACAAATTGCGTGAACGCGACTACGCATAAATAACGTCGTTGTGTGTACGCAAAGTGTACGACGATAGTGACAACAGTGGACACAGTTGATCGCGTGAATAAACATACACGAGGCATACATACACACATCTATATGTGTACACGACTCTCACCTCGATACAAATCGGCAAACAGGCAGCAGGCCGTCACAACACGACGGTCGTCGCATCCCCTCCCGCCACGCCTCGATCGTCCTCTTCCCGTTCATTCATTCCTCCTCCACGCAACGCCGTTGTTTCTCTCGAGCGACGTTTGTGTCAGCAACGTTAGCAGACGACACACCATAGTTACGCGTTGTTCGACACCGCACTCCACCGTAGTAACCAAATAAAGTACGATGTGTCGACGAAACGAGCCGTGACAAACCTAATCGCATCAGCCAAATACGATAAATACCCAGAGGCACCTTGACGCGAGATACCCCCGTCAGACCGACGCCATTCCTTCCTCCGAACTGTTTACATCGTGTCAAGACACGCGATACGGCGAAAGTAAATTGCGTAGAACGTACATATACCGCACTCCCCGGTAAGTTTCTCGGTGTGTTGCATTCGATCGCTCGGAAACCGCACTTATTTACACCGGGCGATTAAGCAGCAAAACAAAAATAGTCTCCCGCGTGCTCCGTAAGATCGCGCTACTCTTCAAGTCTGATACCTCTAGGCGGCGTGACATGAACACGGCCTACCGTAAGCAAGACTGTTAATAGGAGAACAGCAACGAGGAAAAACAGCCCGAGGGAACAACAGCCGTACACGAAATGTCCGACGTCGTGGAAGAAACTGTCGTAGATTGCTCGCGGAATACGTGACACGTTCTCAAGGACGTTCACGAACGTCTCGCCGGCGACTTCGCCGCTACCACAGCAGTCGAACGACATTTGACCAAGCCCCGTGGTAGTACCTCGAACGTTCCGACCGGGCGAAATATGACGGGCTGAAGCCGAGGAATAAATGGGGAGCACCCATAAGAATGCCGCACTATAAAACGTCGCGGCGCGACAACACGACTAAACGGGCTAAGCGGGTTTTCGCTTTCGACTGAAATCGAATGTCCTGGCCGGCTGGCCGCTGAACTGGCTACGTGTGTGAGTTACGTGCGTGTGCGCACGCGTGCTTCGTATGTGTGCGTTTGCGGTGTACGCCGCGCCGTAGCGCGCGTTTTCTACCAGCATCCAGTATCGAGTGTCTCGACAAGTAAACGTAACCCTCTCGAGCTCGCATTACAAAACGCCAGTGTCGACAAGATGAGTCGACCGATTAAATTACACGTGACACGCGCGTACTGCACCCTACTAACAGGTACATCTTTTTGGCTTACCTTGGCGGAGGTCACGCCTCCACCGTATAGGCGTTATCGATCGAAGCATTCGATCTCTCGCAATCCTTCTCTATGAGAATTCATGATTTTCCTCGAAAATTCTCACAATAGTCACTCAACGCACGAGTATCTTTCAGTGAAGAGTTTTAATTGAAGTTATAGCTATCATCCGAGGTATATGGAAATGGCGGAATGCCACTCCACCGCTGACTGTGAAAGTTGTATTAATTGCAGCCTTAATGCGTCGACATTTTTTCACCCCGGTTTTTATATCTTCTTGGGAGGGGAGTGAGACACGATCGCGTTCCACACGAAAATATTTACTCGTTACTTACCGCAGGCCAGTGAACCTCTGTAGTTGTGTTAAATTATTATGCGTAAAATTAAAATGAATAAATATAGCAAATATGATTATTTATTTAAAGTTATGTATGTTGTATATCTACAACGCGGATATATCTATTTTACAATGACGAAACTTCAAGAAGTATCTTCCAATTAAAAAAAATTCATATCACAAACTGGGGACTGTCTCTGTATGTTAATTAAACTAAGAGAATTGTGTCATTATTTCTTTTCCTCGTTGAGGTTATATTTTGTCTTCAACTTATCTATCTCTTCCATCTTCTTATCTACATCAACCCGTTTAAATGCTTTGTTGCTTTGATAATATAAAACCACTAAGTATCTGTTGCAAACATTAAAGCCACTCAAATGATCACACGCATTCTTTGCATCGAATATATCCTCATAAACAACAAAAGCTGTTCCTCTAGTTTCGGCAGTGTTACCTCTAAAAAATATAAAATCCATTACCCTTAAAAATGTTTCTACAATACATATTTAAAGAAATATAATTGTTAATAAGTATGCATAAAATTTAATTCATATATAAGTACTTACACTCTAATTTGTCTAATAGCGCCATATTTGCCAAAAATATCGTACATTTCTTCAGCCGTAATTTTATATGGCAAATTTCTTATGTATAACACCCTGTTTACTTCTGGAGGTAGCCTTACCTACGAGGAAAAGTTATATTTTTGTACAATAACAAACAAAAAATATAGGTTAGGTTGACAGTATTCACAGAGTGGAGATTTTACATGTCAATACTTGTACTTACGTTAGCTCTTCGTTGCAACATAGCCATAGTCATCTTGGGACCACAATTATTTATTTACTCAGTACAAAAAATAAATACCCAGAAATTAAACACAATACGTCTCTTTATAATGTCAAAACAGTACAAGTCGTTGGGATTGTGATTTATACGCTATTTATGCTACCAGAGAGCAGCACTGTGATAATTTTCTCATTATTTGGCAATATACTTTAAGGAAAGGGAAAAATTCTAAGGGACTAAAAAAAATAAAGAACTATGTTTGTAATTTTTATTCATAATAACAATGCTTTGAAACAAACAATTAAAAATGATACTAGTAATTGGCATTATATACTCGCAATATCATTAGTAATCGATCCCGTTTTGGATAGCAAATCAAATATACTTATTTGACATTACAAGTTTATATAGATTATACATTACATTCAAACATTTACGGTTTACATTTTTCCTTTTTTATAAAGAATATATTGACATTACAACCACAGTTTAAAAATTTAATGAGTATTTTTATACTTTGATGAGTACCTTTTAGAAATATCTTGATGAATTGACACACCGAATATTAAAATTGGAGTACAATAGCTAGATTTCTGATTTCTGGGCAGTCGCGATTAATATAGAACGCGTATGTAATGTATTTATTGAAATAGATATTGCTAGTGGAATGAAGAGATGGCACAACAGACCAATGCCTGATTGCAATTAGAACCGTCACTTTTCTACGAAGGAAGCTTCGTTAATATTTTATACTTTATTAAAAGCTGCAATATCTACGCTTTGTACATAATCCTCAATTTCCTGAATCTTTTCTGTAAGCCAATCCACAGAAACTTTATCGTCTTCTACGACACAGGAAATCTGAAGTTTGTGAATTCCAAAAGCAAGTGGAACAAGTTTTGCTACAAAGGAACAAATATTTTCGTTTTCAACTCAAATGATGTAGCAAATTAATTACAGCAATTTGCATTGATAACTTACATGCTCCCCATAAAAGACCATCGATCTCGATCTTTCGTACTTCCTCCTCCATAGCTTTCATGTCTGTTTCGTCATCCCACGGTTTCACATCCAATATTATATTTGACTTGGCAATCGGGGCTGGTTCTGTAAATTTTTATTATATAAACATAGCACAGTTATGTTTGAAGTATGAATTCCGTACTACGTGACTTACTTTTAGCTTTCTTTGCGGCATATGCAGCCAATCTTTCTCCCCTAACTTTTGCAGCTTCTGCATCTTCTCCCTAGTAAGTCAATTATTTAAACAATTTACAGTACAGATCGTAAATAAGCAGCAATTAAATTTCAGTTATTGTACGATAGTGTTCGTGTTGAACTTGTATGATAAATAGAAAACTATAGCTGAATGTATTTGTATTCTGGGAATATCTGGTGTACTATATACTTCGTAAATGTATCATAAACGTATTACTTTTGCATCCTATTTGGAAACACGTGTAAAGTGTAATAACTGTATAAGTATCGTGCAGAAATGTCTTTAAATATTATGTAAATAGAGGGAAAGGGGATTAACTGCTTTAGTGTCTTCCACTATTTCTGCCCACTTGCCTCTGAATCTGAACCAAAGAAATCAACATCCTCCTCATCATTAGCTTTTTCATGTGCTGGTTTTGAAGCTGGTTCAAGTTTAACAGGACAAGCTGATTCAAGTTTAACAGGACAAGCTGGTTCAGGTTTAGCAGGACAAATTGCTATTGGTGCAACAGATAAAAGAGGGTGAATCTTATCTTCAAGTGCTCTGACACGTTCCTCCAATTTTTCAACAGCATTCTTCAGTCCTTGGAAGACTGTTGATGAAAAGTTAGAATATAGTGAATTCCCTATATGACAAACTGATTTAACAAAATCATTATGATACTCACGACTATTAGGATCTACAGAATCTTTTTTGTTGTCATTTGGAGTTGTAAGACCAGCAACAGCTGCAATATCATCCATCTGTAAAATAAAATTGAAATGCATTTCAAAGTTACAATTTAAGAAAAGCAATGAATTATTATTAAATAATTAAATTCTATACCCATAGATTTATATTAATGTTGGATATTATATTAGTAAGCAGGTTTTAGAATTTGTTATATAAGGGTGCGCAAAGAGTGCAGTACTCACACACTGTAAAGACTGTTTAATATGTTGACGAGCCTTGGCGACCTCATTGGCTAAACTTCCACCAGCAGATAGAATTGGACTAGTGGTTTGTTGATTTCCCTGTATCCACCAATATTAAAGATCAACTCAGACTAAACTGATTGTTGCAAACAATTCAATGTCATACCTCCACTAGGAATTATAATTATTGTTATCGAAAATAAAATAATAAAATTCTAATGCTTTTAAATAAAATATTAGAAACATAATACAATTTGTACTAAAAAACTTATTTGCATTCTACAACTATAAATATTCAATACAAGTTCGTCTATTTAAAAAAAAAGAAAGAATATCAGTGGAGATAGACATTTTGAATGTACAAAAAGTGAATAAATAACAAGCATAACAATCTGTCTGCTACAAGTTAAAGGGTTAAAATAAAAAAAAATATTTGTCATCACTATACAGGGTCCACCCAACTGTTATATGTTATAACTCTGTTACCAGTACATTTACAGAAAAATGTCAAAGGAGGAAAGTGAATTGTTCAAAGAGCACTACATCTGTAGGACCATGTTTTTTTTAGAAGTGTAATCAGCAATTGCATTATCCTTTTTAATAGAAATGCATACTTCTTTTTACACGGATAAATTCCTCTCGTCATTCTGCGTAAAAAAGTATTGAGGTATAATGATGGAAAAATGATTAGTTATCGAGATATTTGTAAGTCCAGGGGACTTAAATCGGGTGAGCGGGGTGGACCGAAATATTAAGGTACGTAGAGAAGTAATGAAAATAATTGAAAAACGTTGTATGAAATGTGTACAGTGTAATGGAGGAGCGTTCGAACGTCTTCCTTGATAAAAACAATTTTTCAAAATATCTCGATAACTAATCATTTTTCTACCATTATACCTCAATACTTTTTTACACAGAATGACGAGAGGAATCTATCCGTATAAAAAGAAGTATGCATTTCCATTAAAAAAAATATTGCAATTGTTGATTGCACATGCACCATTGCACTTCTAAAAAAAACATGGTCCTAAAGATATAGTGCTCTTTGAATCATTCACCTTCCTCCTATGACATTTTTCTGTAACTGTACTGGTAACAGAGTTATAACATGTAACAGTTGCATGGACCATCCTGTATACAAACATGTTAATAAACTCAGGATCACAATAGAAATTGTGTCTGACCAGAAACAAACATGCACTGCAACCCCTTTGCACATAGAAAAAGCATGCATGATGTTAAATTAAAGCAGGATAAATATGTACATTATTTGTTCCTGGTGTTCACTCAGTAACTATTGAATCTAAGAATCAAACAGTAATATAAATTTGTGATTGATAAATAAAATATTTGTAAAAAGAATAAAATAATGCCATTTATAAATTAATAAATATTTTGATTGTATTTTATGCAATACTTTTGTGGTAACCTAGGTAATGAAAAATACATTACAATGAACTAAATAAAATTCTATAAATATTGCACTGATGCACACAAAACGTTAAATAACATATGCATTACAGTATATACCTGAATAGGTAATTGCTGCTTATTCCTTATTAATGGTGTACCATTTTCTTTTACTTCTTTAGTCTCATTCTTTCCTTTTCTATTTCTATGTCTGGTATCTGCTTTATTCTTTTTCTCTTTTACTTCTTTTATATTATACTTTTTGGATACATCATTTGAAGGATTAGTCTCTTTTTCTTTCTCCTTCTCCTTCTCCTTCTCCTTCTCCTTCTCTTTCTCTTTCTCTTTTAGATCATTTTTGGCATTATCAGACTTTTGTTTTTCTTCTACATTCTCTTTCTTTTGTATATTCACTTCATCCTCTACTTTATTATTTGCTTTTGATGTTTTTATTTGACACTTAGTATTATTTAGATCATTTGAAATATTTTCAGAAATCAATAGCTTATTGTCTTTTGATTTCTCAGACTTTGATTTAGGCAAAGTGTTACTATTTAAGATGATATTATCCTGACAGTTATTAATTACAGAAACTTCAGATTTAAGCGAGCAGCTTTCCATAATCTTATGAGACACCACCTTAAAACATGTTACAAGCTATGCAAGTAAGAACTCATGTCTTGCAAGTAATGTGTAAAACAGAAACTAAATGAAGCATGTCTGTTACATGCTTAATATAATTTATATTATTACCACAGAACAGAACTGCACAAAAAATAAATACTTCAGTTAAAAAAGTCATGCATTTTTTAACTCGTTGAATATGTAACTGTATAAAACAATACACTGTAACTATAAACATAAACAAATAGGAAATTACATTTTGCTAATCTTATGTTCTTATTTTAATATTATCAATTATACTTATCGCAAGAGCTTTGTGTTAAAAAAGAAATACAAGATTAGATGATTCATTTGAACACACAACTATAAATGGGAATTAAGTTTTTAAATAAAAAATAAAATTCCCAACACCTCATGAAATTACAAGCAGACAAAGTTTTCCCTATCACCAGATATTCCCTGAAGTGTGTGTTAGAGATGTTAGTTTTTGTTAATACAAAGAAAAAAATACAAGGCACAACAAAAAGGCAAACATTAGTTGTGGATGTTGGGGTTGACAATAATAGGTTTAAAATTATTTTTGTTTGTAAACATACTTTTAAGCATTATAATTTTTTTAAATAAAAATCTGCTTTAATATCATAATAATGAAAATGAACAAAACTGAAAGTCCTTATTATTCAATAGTTTGTATGTTTAGAAACATTTATCCTACCCCTGTTGGCAATCAGTTTTATATCCAATAACATTAATACACAATTCACTGATAAAGATACTTACCTTGGCCATTCTTTCAAAATATAGACGTTCTGCTTTGTCATAGGATGGCTTGTCAAACCATACCTTCTCTTGTGCCAAGGCTGATTTCTCCATGGTTTTGATGATTTATTCAACAGTAAAGATGCAAGAAAATATCTGCAACATGAAATTTTATAGACCTCAAAATATTTTCAAATACTTTCATATTAAAAATATAATAGTTCAATCTTATTATTTATACAACGAAATATGGTATATTTATAACTTAAGAATAATATAATAATAAAATTCATTATATAACAATATATATAAATAATCAACAACCTATTAGGTAATTAACATCAAAAACTATCATCATCACTGCTAAAATATTCAGATTTTAATGGAATTTTATTTAATACTTTACGATTAGGAAGTTTTAATTCATATGTTTCTTTAACTGCTACCTGTTCATCTGATATCTTTTTTATAGAATCTAATAAACGATAAACTTCTTTTTCTTCTTCTGTTTTCACTACACATGGATATATATCTAATGTATTAAAATATTGAATAAAAGCTTTGAGTTCATTAAAAGAGGAATGTGTGGAATAGCATACATTGAAAGTTCTTTCTTTAATTTTGTCCCATTCTCCTACTACACTAGTATCCCTTTTTTTCCATTTCATCACAGATGGAATGATAGTCATGATATTTGCATTGCTTACATCACTTCTACAATGCAAACCTGACGAAGATATTTTTCTCTTGCAGGCATGAATGGGAGTACTATATGGGTCATTTGTGACATAACAAGACAATTGTGTAATACAACAATAACTCTCATACACATTATGTTTTACATGAATTTTCACATTCATCATTTTTGAGAGTTCTACAAAGAGAAATTCAGAACCATATGTAGCAGAACATTCCAGAATAACAACATTCCTTGGGTCTCTACCTAACCATTCTTTTGTGATTTCACATATTTTAACCATGCTTTCTTGCCTAGTAGGAAAGGAAGGAAAATCGTTACTTAAAAATGTTGTGTCTAAATAGATTTTAGTAAATGTTCTAGGTATCAATTTAGAATCTTCATAATAATGTAAACCTTTCAACTTAGGAAAGTCCAGTGGATTAATGCGAAAATCACCAGTATATAATATTGATAAATTATTCCTTTCAAAGATAAACATTACAG